TTAGATTGCTTGTTTTGGAGCTCGTTTAATGTTCTTCTGAACTTTCTACAAGTTTTAAAATTATAAACTTATATTAAGATTTATATCAGCAGTGAATGTGTTTAAATATTATTTTATATGCTTTTTTTCATTTTCTGATGTTTGTGCCATGACCATATATTGCATTTATGTTCAATGGAAAGAATAAAGAATTTTTTTCAATTTCCACATGAATTAATATATTTCCTCCAGTATTTTTTGGTCTATTTTCTTCATGGTTTTTTTTCCTTTTAGACCATCTGCTCCTCTCATTATATAATAATAATATTTTGAGAACTAACTACATAGCACATATACTATAAGTCCTTTACTCCCATTCTTATTTAATCCTCAGAACAACTCTGAGAAGTACCATAATTACCCTTGTTTAATACCTGAGGAAGTTGAGGTTGAAACATGTAGGTGACTTTTTCAAAGTCACATAGCTAAACTATAGTAAAGACAGTTTGGATCTGGGTCTCTCTGACAATGAACCAAGGTGATTAACTACTATACCATACTAGTTCCAAGAATTTCGAGATTATCTGAGTATTGGGATGGTTGCTAGGTGAATAGGCAAAGACTTGGTTTTGAAATCACTCCAATACTCTTCTAAGATAGTCTTAGGATTAAATTCAGTAGTTCAGCTTATACTGTGGTATTCAAGAGAAAATTTCTTTTGGTAACATAGATAAGTAATCAGAGGAGTAGACACATAAACTATTTCTGATTAATGTTTCACTCAAAAAATTTCAGTCATAAGCCAAAGAAGAAATGGATTTTTCATATGAGAACCAGGTCTTGTGAAGAAAGGGCCTTTCTTTTAAAGTCTGGTGTTTATTAAGAGTTTCTTTAATAACTGAAAATTACCTAGGGAGAACGTTTCTAATACACTGGGGAATTTGTGGACAGAGGAATTTGCACTGTGTAATCAAGGGCAAATAATCTCTTGGGCATCCCTCCTCGTTCCTTTCCTCTACCCCACTCCATTCATCAGCTCACCTGCAGGCCAGGGCTGGAGTCATCAGTATCCTCCACGCCTGTCCACAGGGGGTGGGCAACCTAGCCTTCTCCTCTTTTTCTCACTCTTCCACATTTTGAAAGCATTGGAAGAAAAATTTTCTCTGATAGTAATAATACCTACCATTTATTAAATATTTACCATACACCACGCACTATGTTAAGCAGTGTTGGCATGATCTCCAGTTTTCACAACAACCGTCCTTAGAAATGAGAAATCCAAAGCTCAGAAAGTGGCTCTTTGATTTACTCTGAATCATAAACCTCTAACCTGTGGGTTAGAGATTACAGTTGGAGGGAAGAAAGGAGGAACCAGGAGGGACAGTGAAGGTATTACTTGCCATTAATCATACAGCAGAATTGAGATTCAAACTCAGATGTTTGGCTCCATGATCTATGTTGCCACCCAAGTCGTTTGGCTCTGAAAGCCAAAAAGAGAGAACTAAGAAATTCAATTCTTGATGTGACATTAAAATTCATTAACCATCTATGAGATATTAAATTTATATATTATCATATCCTAATTTCCTGGAATCAATTTTATGCCATAATTTATTTTTTCAAGAATAGTATATAAACAATATATAAATAATATATATTTCTTATAAATATTTAAGAAAATATTATGTTAAAATATTATAAATTCTGATCTCCCTATATTATTAAGAATAAATTTTATGACTAAAATGCCTTATAAATATAATATTCCATTAATGAACATGACAAAACACTGTGATTAGAAATGATTATTCTTTTGTTGTTATAAAATTAATAGGTAAATTATCCCTACTAATTAGGTAAATTATAAGGATTTTCTCTTACCACTGAATTTATTTAGTTATCAAGGCAGGGATTTATTAGAATAGTTGGCAGTGTTTTTGTTCTGATGACATTGTTGCCTATAGTAGTTTTCTTATTCATCCCCAGGAAACATGTCCAGGAAGCAGAAATCAACTCATATTTGAAAGCTTTGTTTCTGGTGCTTTATATTATAAATCTGATTTGGTACTAAAATCCATTATAATAAAAAAAGATCTGAAATCAAAAGAAAAAAATGCATTTGTTTTTTAACATAAAATCTGTTGGAGTTATTTTTCACCAAGAAAGGAAGGGCTAGGGGTGAGCAGGGGCTTGGGGGTGGCACTGGGAGCCGCAGACTGAGTGAGGTAGAGGCTCATCAGCCAACTGCTCCTTCCCCCACTTAAAAAAAAAAAATTCTATAATTGGAGCCCTTGGTCAGGTTCCACATGCCATGAGAACTCACTCTACACCATGATGCTGGTGCCTCGGTGCTGGCCAAACTCCGGAGTCAGTGACTGGTGTGACTCTCTTACCGGGAATATGCATTTGGTCTGGACCAATCATAGAATAAACACATCTGTCTTTTTAAGACAAATGAATTTTTAATTTTACTATAGTTTTAGATCTCATAACTAAATACATAATCTATTTGTATATGAGAAGCGTTATGACAGTCTAACTTGCCTATGGCTACCCAGTGGTTACACACAAAATAACCATGTAGTTTTGTTCATAAGGGATTTTTAAGAACTATCCATTGTTTAATTTTACTTTCTAAAATGTTTTTCTTCTTCTTTTTTTTTTTTGCTTAGGCTAATAATTGTGTATTAGTGCAATGATTTCATTTAGACATTATGACTTGATTAATTCAGTTCAATAAAAATTCATTGAATATCCTCTGCAAGGCACTGCTTAGCTCTAAGGAAGGATAAAAAGATGAATAGACTCTGAAAGAGTCATGGTAGCAACTATGATATAAAACAAGGAAAGTAAGATCAATACCTTCATAAAGGTAGAAAGCACTGCATAATCACAGTATGGAGCAGTTAATTCCAACTGAGTAGGTGTATAACGGAAAAGCTGGAAAAGAAACCAACCTTGAATACTACATTGAAAACATCCCAGGTCCTTATCTACAGACATTATTTTAGTCAGTCCCTAGCAAGTAGACAGGTATTATGAAACTTAGCTTAGTATTTGCCAGCACCCTGGATTCTTTTTCTTTCAATAATTGTGGTATATGAGGCTCAAAATTCAAGTCAAAAGTAGAAATCCTGTCCCAAAATAAAAATATCATAGGCTTATAAAAGGCAAGACTCATATGACATGAACAAAAGGAGGCAAAGCCAAGGTACAGGTGTACCTGCCCCAGCTGCTGATTTCTCCTGCCCTGCACGGGCTCCTCCTCCCAAGTGTCTCTGTGGAGCACGCCCGAGGTTGGTAGCTTCTCCTGCGGGCGCCTGGGCTGAGGACTCCTTCTGAGGAACTACTCAGCCATGCGGCTGCCTCCCCAGCTTTGTACACCCTGTTTCCGCTGCCTCAAAAGCTTTTATCCCCATCCTTTCTCTATTGCAATCTGGTGACTACCACCTGCAGGAACAAGGTTGTCTACTCTGGGACGTCTTTGAGTCTCCCCGTAGATCCATACCCACCCTAGTCTGAATTAAGGGTCTCTTTTCAGGTCTCTGATCGTACCCTATACTACCCGCATCGTAGCACATTTGAAACTACTCTCTGCAATGACCTTGTAGGCAGGAATTGCGTTGTTCAGCCCCTAGCACAGTAATGTTACATCATAGGTGCTCTTTATGGATTGAAATGTGTCTCCCTTTAAAAAGGATACATTGAAGCCCCAAACCCCAATACCTCAGGATGTGACCTTATTTGGAAACTGAGTCACTGTAGATGGAATTAGTTAAGGTAATTATTAATGGAGTAGGGTGGGGTGTCCTTATAAGACAGCCATGAGAAAACAGAGACACAGAGAGAAAGCAATGTGCCTAAGCAGGCAGAGTTTGGAGTTACACAGTTGCAACAGGGAGTGACAGATTGCCAGCAATCACCAGAGGCCAGGCGGAGGCAAGGGAGGATTCCCCTACACATCTCAGGGAGAGCATGGCCCTGCCTACACCTTGATCTTAGACGTCTAGCATCCAGAATTGTGAGACAATAAATATCCATTGTTTTAAACCAGCCAATTTATGATTGCCCTAGGAAAACAGTGCAGTACTCAATAAATTTGAATGGATGGATGACTTTGAATTTTTACCTATGACAGATCTGTGTCTCTTCTGTTATTTCTTGTTTCTAGCCTTGATCTAACAGAGCTTCTTTCATTTTATTTGGTCACTTGAAGGTACAAATTTTATTTGTCTGATTCTCAGGTTTTTCTTTTGCTCTCAAATGTTGTTGACGCAATTTTCTGCCTGAATGACTCCAAAACTGAACATAACTGGATTTTATGAAAGACTTTTTGTACCTATATTTGCCTCTTTTTCATAGTCTATATCTTGATAAATCTTCATGCCTACACTAAATCAGTTTTTTACACTTAGGAAAGCAGAGGAGAGATGAGAGAATGAGATTCCATATGTGAGCTACTAAGAGCCGTCTTGTCGTGGATTTAGGTTGTGGCATGCTCTTTGAGTTTGCTGATCTTACTATTTAATGGCAATTTAATGGGGTGGATAGTAGCTGGGGCTTTGTTGTCAAACAGAGCTGGGATCAACCACAGTTCTGCCACTTCATGGCTTGGGTAAGTTTTTTTAACCTTAGTTTCCTCCTTTGTAAAATGGGGTAATAGTAGTGTCAAACTTCTGAGTTATTACAAGAAAATAATGGCATAATGTACATAAAGTTCTTAGCATAGTTCATGTAGTAAAGTCTTAATAAAAGTTATTATTAGATTATTAGATGGGCACCAAAAACACCCTCCCACAGAGTATCAAAATCACATTATTTTGTAAAGCAGCGTTCTCTGGAATCAACTATGTTACAAATGGAAAGTATAAATCTATCATAGAAAACACATATTTTAAAATTCTACCAAAGAATACCAGAAGGGAAATGCAAAAAAAAAAAAAAAAATCTACCCTTTACAGGCAAAAGTTTGATTATTGAGTCAAAAAACTCACCCACTTTTATTTTTTCCCTGTAAACAGGCTAAAAGGAGAGATGAGATTCTCCAACTCTTAAGAAAACAAAGAGAAGAAAGGATCTCGGTGAGACTGAGAGGCACTCAAATCAATCTAAATGGTGGCAGGGGGAAGAGACTATGGCAAATTCTCAGAGGTTTTATGGATTGTCCCCATAAACCCAAATACTCACAGTCCAGAGCCTTCTATCTACTTGTGTGGGGGCAGGGTACAGACAGCAGGCAGTTTGGTCATCCTTGAGAAATCAAAAAATTCTCCAGTGTGCTGCTCTATTAGGATAGAAATGAGGTGGTGGTATCAGCAGGTTTGTCGCTCCGTAGGATAAAGCTCTAGGATAGTCACCCAGTTGGGCTACCACAGTGCTCATCCTTGTTTTACAATGACTGGTCTTGCTGAGATCATACAAAAACAAATGCTAAATGAAGAGAAACATAATGAAAATAGTAAAACAAATAATAGCACCCTATAAACTTTCAGACGTACAAACACCTGCTCTCTTGAATGAACTCCAAATACCCTTCATCTGGAACATTTCTAATCCCAGTGTCTCCAGATTTAAGAAGCTAGTCTGTATAAACTGATAATTTGACCTTAGGTTGTTTTTTTTTTTTTTTCAAGTAAGGAAATGTCAGGCAGTGCAAGAAGTAAAAATTGTGTTTTTTGAGTTCTGTTTTTTGTTTTGTTTTTAGAAAGAACTGGTTTCCCTTCCTTATAAGCCAAAGGCCAAAGTACACAAAGCAAAGTGAGTTTACTTCTGTCAAATATGTTCTTACCTTTCTAGTTCCCCCATAGAGAAACAGTTTTTGGTACTTCCTTTGCCTCCTATCCTCAAATGTTCTAAAAACCCACCCACTGTAGTCACAGATTTCTTGCCTTGAACAAACCTTCTCCTCAGCCACATTAAAGCCTGTGTGCCCACTTGCATCTCTGTGCAGCAGGTCAGCATAAAATGGTCAAACAGGACAGCGGATCAAGCCTGAATCTTTGCACGTAGTCCCTTCCCCCACTCTCCTGTTCTTGGCGTATTCACCTGCCCACATGGCCTCTCAACTCCCGCCGCCCCCCCCAGCTCCTCCTCCTCCCCACACCTAGCTCCCTCATCTGTAGTAACCCAGCACGTCTTTTAGATTACCAGCTCCGGATACCACCAAAGGCATCCCTAAGGTTGCTAAATCTAGGTTCATGTAGCAAAGGCGGTAGCCTCACAGCGAGGGGTTAATAGCCTTATCCCTGGAAAAATGTTAGAGCAGGAGAAAACAACGGTCCCCAAGAGTTTAAAGGAAACCACCTAACACCAGTTAATCATTAAAGAAGCCCTAACCAAAAAAAAAAAAAAAAAAACCTCTCCATTTTCTGTATTATGACTGAAAACCAATGTGGCTAACTCAACATTAGTTTGACAAATATATATTTGTCTGCTATATTCAGGGAAGAACAGTAAGAGAATTTAGATTCTGCTCTCACTGGTATTGAGGCTGACTCCCTTTAATGTTATCAAAGTAATATTCTTAAAAAATATGTCCACAGTAATTTTAAAAAGTTTTGAAAGAAATGAAAAGATCATTTAATCACCTGGCTGTGTTGTCTACATAATACTCAGCAGTTTAATTTCTTGCTTTTTAGTCAGATGATTTGAATCAGATTCTAACAGTAAAGCAAAACTAGTCAATGGTAAGATGCATTTATCTGATTCAAATAATGGGTGAAGACTGGTAAGCCTGGGTGCTTTAGGTTTCTGGGCGTATTTTTATGGGAATGCTCAGAACATTCCTGGTACCACCCCTGTTGATTCACCTAAGAGTAAAACATTATTTCACAGCTTGAAGGGATAATTCTTTAGGTGCTTGCCTAATTCCTTTTGTATTCAACTTGCTCATTTTCCCTCCTCTGCCCTGAAGCCTTAGATTTCATTCCATTTCACTGGGATATCTTCCTTCTCCGAGCTTCTTACAAAGTTACCATCTGTACCATTCTTTCGGCAAATATCCGTATGTTACTATGCAGCCATATTTTATAATTACTCAACTCATTAACTCTTACATTATTTAACTCTTCATGTATTTTTTTTTTTTTGAGAGAGAGAGAGAGAGCTCACGAGTGCGGGGCGGGGTGGGGGGGATGGCAGAGAAGGAGAGAGAGAGTCTTAAGCAGGCTCCATGTTCAGCACATAGCCCAACACAGGGCTCAGTCTCACCACCCTGAGATCATGACCTGAGCCAAAATCAAGAGTCAGACACTTAACCAACTGAGCCACCCAGGTGGCCCTCATGTATTTTTGACCTATCAACTATATTGCAAGCTCAATGAGAAACTGAGTCACGCAAAGTGCCTAGCACACTGACTACATGTAGGAATTCAGAAAATATTGGTAACAAAATATTTTAGTTCAAAAAGATCATGTACAGTATTAGCTAATTTAGGTGATTCTTTTATACTATACATGATAAACATTTTTAAATTTTTGAAATATTTTATACAAATTGTAAAATACTTATCTTTTGCCCTCTTTTTCCTCCCTCCATCCTTCCTTGTTTGCCCCACACCCCTGCACACAGAGACACATGCCTTTACCACCCTCTTCCAGCAGATCTTCTTAGGATGATCCAAGTCCACTTTTGTCAGAAAGAACTAGAAATAGAAAGTGTGTTCATAGTAAGGTTTTAGTATCAATATGTTTATAGATTCATTATTCCTGTCCACCACAGGAATACTTGCATTTTAAAAGAGGTCTGACTAGAAGGAAAGAAGGACCAATAGCTATTCCAAAGAAATCAATTATCCGTGATAATCACAAGTGTGACTCTCTGGTGAGCAAAATATATGTAGGGTAGGCGGTCTTCTCCCAAGCCCTTTACATCACACTTCACAGCATAATGACCATTCCTCCCACTTGTAAGTTTATACTTGGCTCCAAAATCTCATGCATAGTCAGAATCCAAGACAGTAAATCTTTACTGGGGAAACTTTCAGAAGTTGTTTCCATGCTACCTGGTGTTCACAACTACGGAGCTCTGTGTCTTAAAACTGATTCATGTTATTGCCAACAGGAAAGTGACATCAGAGTCAGATAAGGAACACCAAGAGGAGGTCAAAGCCTTGGACTAATGTGATGGACACATGGGAAAGGATGGCTCACTTAGATCTTGACGTTTGAAGCACCCTTCTCCTATGTCAGGATCATTGGGATCACTTTGTTGAAATAGACAAAGAAATAAAAGTTAAATATGCAGACTTCTAGGAATTTTACCAGTTATTGAATACTTGTGTCTACTTTACTTGATGGATACTACTGTATTTGACACCACACAATCGTCTCATCTTACACCTCTGAAACTCCTATTTATCTTGTTTTCATCAGACGTGTATGTCCAGAACTGCTATATTTGATCTATATTATGAATATCAGATAAACAAGAAACAGGGGTTTCATATGCCCCAACTTGAGACCACTACTAAAAAACCCTGGAAAAGTTAAAGTCTTCTTGCTGTTAAAAAAAAAAAAAAAAAAGTCTATATAAAATCCATTTTCCAGAATTTAGTTTATTTAGTTTCTGGAACATGTCTGAAGTCAGAAATTACTTCTAGTTCTGTAAATAGTTGGCTTAACATTTCTATATCTTAGACACATGTGCATGATCGTATTGCCAGCCTCCCTCATTTTCAAAGGTATATATTTTTGGTATATATTTTATATATTGGAAAAGAGAAGGTTAAGTATTTGTCTCTTCTGTGCTGTGTAACTGGCAGTGTTACTCAGGGTTGTATGCTCTGCTCCAGAGCTCTACTGAACCTCCCAGCTCCATTGAGGACCACTGTTCACTTCACCCTTGGCCCCCACCTGCCACTCCTGGACATAACCCCCATCGGATGCAGCTCCTACCCACAGCGCCCACAGAGGAGTGGGTGACCCACTGGTCAGAACTTCATCACAGGGACAAACCAAATTGCAAGGGAGGCTGGGAAATGGTCTTTAAATGGAAGATCATCTGCCTAGTTAACGTCAGGACTCTCACTGAAAGAAGTGGACAATGGGTATTAGTGGACGACTAGTAGTTTCGGCCACACACTATTTGGAGAAAAATGTTTTCAAATGAACAGAAGAAGGTAGTCAGGCCTAGAAAAGGGAAATTTACAAAATTATAAATTGGCAATCTCATGTCAGCACTACGAATTCTTTATTCATAGTTTGAATAAATGAATTTATTCTTTATTATTCTATGATTCTATGATTATTCATAAAATTATTCTATGAATTTATTCTTTATGAAGAATAAAAGGCACCCTATCAGGGTGATATACTTGTCTGCCAGACAGATATATCTCTATTGTAAAGATGGATAGAGCAGGTTATCAAAGCCTAAACTTTCAAATCATATAACTCCCTTTGTTCTGATTCCATGCTCACTTGGAAATCTCTTGCCCAGAGGTAGAGAATGTGCTCAACAGACTAATGCAAACATCAGTGTGCTTGACAATAATATTTCTCAATGTATAAATATATTAGTCTCTTAGATTGGGTTTGGGCTTGTCAAACTAAGGATGGGACCCTAGACCCACATAATTTTACCAAGAAAAATTCAACTGTGTAAGCCACCCAACCTTCCCCAGTGGACACCTCTCTGCATTACCATATATAATGGTTGGTATTGCTGCAACAATCTAACAAAGTGATCTAAAACATTTATTATTGCTCACACATCTGCCGGTTAGCTGGGGGGTTGGGTTGGCTGATCTAGGCTTGGCCAGGCAGCTCTGCTTCAAGTGCCAGCACCTAGGGCAGGTCTGCTTCTCACTATATGTCTGTTGATTGACTGAGGCCGCTCTGCTCCATGTGTCATCTTCTTTGGGATGTACATGGTCCAGTGGGATAGCTGAGCTATGTTCCTCTCAGACAGCAGCCGAGAAGCAAAAGAACAAACAAGGACAAGTGAGGCCTTTTCCAATGTAGGCTCAGAAACCTCTGACTCACTCCGTTGGCTAAACAAGTCACATAGTCAAATACAGAGACAAGGGGTGGGAGATATACTTAGTCCTTTTAGTAAGAAGAATTGCAAAGACACATGGTAAAGGGTGTGGATACAGGACCTGTGCGGACTGGAGTTGCAACTGTAATCTAGTACATGAGGTTGACCACATACCTTAACAAAGGCAATGTGGACCAAGGGCCAGAGTATCAAAGGGAGAACTCAGGGCACAATTTAATTATTTGGGCCAAGGTAACAGCTTCCCCAAATTGAAATAGCTGTTGTAATATTGGAAATACATCCTTTTCAATTGACATTAAGTAACCAGCCATCTGCACCCTTGCATGTCTATTTGCCCCATCAAACCTTCCCAAAACTCTTAAGGTAACACCAAGAGTTAATTGAAACTTAGATGAAGGAATTGCCAAAGTTCCACCTAGACTTTAAGTGAAGAAAAGCAGAATATCAGATGCCAGCTCAGGGGCTTCCCTCAGCGTGCAGTCTTCTCTGTCTTGAGAACCAGGGGTTTCTAGAAAGAATGCATGTTGGATATGAGATATTCTAATTTCAGACATAAAGATGGGTTGTAAATCAGCGTGCCATAAAGGTCAGTGCTCACCCCGCTGATGCTTTTTTCTGCGGTAGCAGTTCTTCCCTACAGCATCAGCTGATACTGAAATAGATTCCCCTGCCCAGGGCTATATTCACTCACTCCTCTTCCTCTAGAATTGCAGCGGCTCCAGCTGAGACCAAAACCCAGGAAGTCAGTGGTCCAGACGCGGCTTCTGCAGCCATTCACAGCAGCCTGGTATGGGGGGAAAAGGCAGGGAAATCAGACCCACCTTCTGCCACTCAGTACTTCAGTTTTTGGACAGAAGGCTCACTTTATTACTTGAGCATCTTTGAAAACATTGTGTTTACCACAAGAAGCTGACGGAACCAGGAGTATTGTGGCAGTTTCAAAGAGGGAACCCACACTGAGGGCTGAGCTGGTGAGGAAGGCTTTTCCACAGAGAGGGACCATTCTTTCCTAGGGAGGCTCCTCTCCCTTCTACCACCAGCCCAAGGCTGAACAATCACCCCCACCTCCCAACAGGTGCCCCGCAAACGGCAGGGATTATTTCCTTGCTGAGTTCAGAGACACCCTTTGGCTTCGGGTGGAGCTACTCTCTTCTCAGCCAGAACTCCAACTCAGCCACCTCCTCTGGACACTATCCACGCTGCCCCATAACTTGCGGGCCAGGGGCACACTGCCCACGTGAGCATCTTTGCTTTGTATCCGCCATTCCTTTCTCAGGGGTGGCGCTGAGCACCCGGACTGCTGCCTACCGAGCCCCAGGGAGGTCTCAGCGCCTCGCCTCTCCCACTGGCCCACACTGCAGAGCCTAGGGCTCTGGGTGAATTTGGCCATGGCTGCGAGGAGTGGGGTGGAGATGTGGCCCTGTTTTGAGCCACAGTGCCTCTCTTCATCAGATTTCAGAGAAGCCAACTGGGACATTACTGGGCCTCGCGCCCTGGGCAAACGCAGGATCTCCGCGGGAAGCTCGGAGGAGGCGGGGACGGGAGCGGGGCGGGCAGGGAGCTGACTCCCCTCCTCTGCTCGCTCCCCTCGGGCGGGCCAGGTCTGTGGCGCCGAGGCCGCCGGAGGAGGCCATCAGGGGCGGGCCAGCGGCGGGGCTGCCCTCCCCTCGGTGACGTCCCAGGGGGGCGGAGGACGGCGCGCTGGCTCCGCGCCCTCCCCGCCTCCACCGGTGCCCCGTCCGTCGGTCCTCGGGGGATGCTGCTGCCGCCTTTGCATTTGCCGTGCACGCCGCTACGGGCCCGTCCGCTCCACCGCCGTGGCGCCGCGGTGTCCGAGGGCGCACCCGAGCCGGGGCCATGCAGCCGGGAGCCGCGCTGCAGGCCATGCTGTTGGCCGCGCTGCTGGCGGGGCCCCGGGGTGCCACCGGTCGCCTGCTAAGCGGTGAGTGAGCGCGCTGGGGCGGGGGCTGGTTCCCGGTCGGGCTCCGCAGATGCACCCACCTCACCCCAGCTGCTGCGGGCCGTCGTCACGGCCGCCGCACCTCTTCTTTGGCCCCCTGCACAGGCGAGGGGCGTCCTCGCCTACGCTAGTGGACCCAGCCCTCCTGCGCCCCCTGCTTGTAGGGGAGCCGTCGCCCCGCGGCTAACGGCAGCGCGGGTCCCTGCTTATCCTGGAACACGCAAAGTCCGTTCCCTCCCCAGAGTTCCGGGCGTTGGCGGACGTAGGCTAGGTGAGGCAGTGGGCAAACCCGCCCCAGGAGCTCCCCCTCGGCCTGCCCCACTGAGTGCGGCGCAATAGTTGCCTGGACCCCGGCGCAGGGGCAGGCTCACCAACTCTCCTCCAGCCCACGCGGGAGGTCTCCTGTTCCCGGAGACCACGGGTACAGTGGGGATTCTGGATCGGCTGTGCGGTGGGAACGCAGCCTGTTACTCCCGGTCTCTTCTGGGGGGAGGATGGCGGGATCCAGCTCTGGAACCCGAGCGCTTAGAGATCGAGAAAGAAGCCTAGTTAGTTCGGGACAAGCCCCGCCTGACTCAGGGGAATGACTCTCTGCTTCCTTCCTCCTGTCGTGTCACTGCAGCCTCGGACTTGGACCTCAGAGGAGGTACAGTGCTCTGGCTTCTTGCCTCTTCTATTTGTTCTGCATGTCGGGGAAAGGATGTCCGTGCCTCTTTCTCAGGTCTTCGGGGCGCAGACAGATTGGCCAAGGGGGTGGCGGAGAATGACAACCTCCACTCCGTTATCCCGGCTTGCAGAGCTGATGGAAAGGATCTAAAGTGTGTTTCGGGATGGGGGTGGGCTGCGAGGCGGCAGAAGAGGGGTACGCACCTGAATTAAGCTGCCCGGATTAGGGCTGCATGGGCTTTGTCCTAGGTCATGGGGAACAGAAGCCCCCGCCCTTCCCCTTCCTGCAAATAAGAAGAGAAAGACACTTCCTGAAGGCAGGGGAACCAGATGCGCCTCAGGCATCCTTCCAGCTCTGGCGCTCTCTGGCACTCACCCGCTGACTTGCCATGTGTGGCCCGGCTGGACCATACCGGAAACCCGTTGAAGGTGTCATGTTTTCCCTTGATAAACCAACAGTAGAAAAAAGGGGACTGCCAGTAAATTCAGCTCCACCTTATGTTATGCGCATGGCCAGACTGAAGGTACCTGGAGCTCATTTTCCTTCTGCTGCCTCATTTGGAGCCCCCTTGAAGGAATCACAATAGCAGGGCTGGCCCAGGCTTCTCCCCAGGCAGCATGCCAGCGACAGCCTCCCTAGCCAGCGCCCCCCTTTC